TTGAGCCAGCTGAAAATTAGTTGCAAGAAAAATTCAAGAGTTTTCCACGAGAAGTTGTCAGGAGATTGCATTGGTACACTTTACAGCAGTTAATTTACAACATGAAGGATGTGAAGTGACGTGAAAACGAACAGTGGAAGGATCAGTAACGGTGAATATTTTGCAGTCTGAAGAAAGCACTGTTACGCTAAAAGTGGGTAAGAGCGAGATGGCTGGTGGCATACGGTCTGTAAACAGGGATCTTGATGTGCGAGAGTAGTAAAATTTTTTCTTTTCCTCCTGATTCCTAACCTGTCCTTATATCATTTTATACTACCTTCACTAGAAAGAAGAGAAGAATCAAGATGACTAAAGGTAGTAGATGTGAGAAATGACAGAAAAGTTGAAAACAGTAAAATTAAAAGTGATCAAACTGTTGGAAATTTTGAGTTAGCAGAAAAATTTTTACATAGGGGCATGAAGATGTTATCACCACAGTTTCTATAACCCTTATTCGCAGTAGCGGTACTTTGTAATACCGGTATCGTAGAAGTGCTGCAGTTTAGGCTGCTAAAAATTGTTAACGAATATAAGCTTAAGTTTTCCTCGCCTATAGTTCTGAAAGTTCTTATTGACTGACCTCGTACTTCATTTTAAATGTGAAAAGTAGAACGATAAATTATTTTACGTCATTTGGGCCTTTTGTTGAAGGACAAAATGCTGCTGTTAGAGTTCATTATTTGTGCTTCCGCTTTCCATTTTAATGACTGCTTTACAGCTGTCACGATTTGTTTTGGTGAATTTCATATAGAACCATCACTACTGTATTAAGTTTTCTTTATTTATGTCTTCTACTGGAATCCTGACCACACCGGGGCATTACTTTAGCTCATTCACTCTTAACTTCCAAAACAATCATTTTTTTTTACTTTTTTTTTAATGTGCACGGCTGGATTCTCTTATATAACTTTTTAAACCACCTTTCCACTCTGCCACTTAAATCTGAACTTATTCTACGATTTACACAAGCAGCAAAGCAAAATGACTATAGGGGAATACAGAGGAGTTTTACTGCTCCTTTTCTTGTTTCTCCGATTATCTTTGTGAAGACGTTGCGGTTAGTAAGTTGAGAACCGGCAATTTCACATTTGCCTGTAACCTCACCGTCTAGAACGCTGATTTTACAAACCACTGTTAATGAAAAAGTTATAAACTGTGCGAGACTTCCAAAGTACTGCTTCAAAAACACCTGCACTTCTTTCAGTTCCCACCCTCTTCTCACCATTCACAACATAATCTTTCTTACCCGTTGGTAATCTGGCTAAAGCAGATTCTTCTAAAACTTCTCAAAAGTTGAACATCATTCAAAGTAGTATTTCTACACAAATTTCTTGCGGAAGACGTGGAAGAGAACGGAGGAGTTTCCCGAGCCCTACCTATAAGGATTTGCAGAGCAACTGGAAGAAACTGAACAGCAGTTGAAGAGAGTGTAAGTTTGGAAAATTCTGCTTTCTAACTTCTTCCTTACACGACGCATTTATGTGCCTTTCCCCAGCCAATCGCCATCACTATTAATAATTCTTTCTACGAATTTGCCAACAAATACCACTTTGGACGATGTTTTTGTAATGTACTAGGAACGTAAAAAACTACTCCGCTATGTCTAGTTAATGGGGAATACAAGAAAGAAATTTCAGATGTTTAAAAAGGGAAGGCGAAGTAGTGTAGGGCTTAGAGATTTTACAGCATATCCCGTCCGACTTGGCATGGCAACGAGTGGATGGTTACATAACAAATTTTTTTGACTAAGCTGAAAGATAAGCAGTTAATTATTTAGAATACAGCTATTTAAAAAATAATGACCCCATCCGTTTTTGTTATAAACTTTTTCTGGAAGCGTATCTACAGAACGTGGGGCCGTTACGGGTCTTAGAGACAAAACTAAATTTTCCGTTAATTAAATTATTATAAAATTTTACG